AAACCCATTGAGACTTAGATATACAAAAATTCTGTGTTTATGATCTGACATCATGAGTCCGTGCTAAAGGTGAAACCCAAACATCTTTCAACTTAAGGAATTGACGGGGAACATTGTTCCAGATATTGATGAAACTTTTGTTTCAGTACCAAAATTTGAAACTCCAAATCATATTCATTTCGCATGCGTGGTCTTGATCAAACATTCGAAACCCACGATGTTTGTTACCCAAAAAGATCCAGTACATCAATTTTTTTATGAATATGATTTTCGTGTGAGTTTCATTCGAATGTCCTAGTCATGATAAATATTTTCAAAGCTGACTTGTCACTGACTACACTGGTCATACAAGTAATTTCTGTTACAATTTATCACCTTATGTTTAGGTTGACATGTAACGAAATTTTAAATCAACCCAAGAATCATTTTTAAAAGAAGCCCTTTGATACTTATCAAAAAGTATTCGATTGTAAGTCACGGGAACATACACAAGCAGTTGATCATCTCTCTTGATGATTAGCGAAGCAACCTTTGCCCAGGGTTTAACTGCCTTCGTGTCAAATTACATTTTTGACAACACAAAATTCCAAAAAAAAAATTTTAACTTGCTTCTTATCTTATTTCTTTGATTCACATGCACTCACGAAATCTTTGAGGTTCTGAGTAATACCAACTCAGGCTGATGATTTCAAACATCTGGCATATGACTTCGCTTTTCATCCCAAAAGTGAAAGAGCCTTGCCTCAATGCGAAGGGTTCTAACGGTTACAATTCCATAAAGGGAATATTGACAGGCTGTGTATCCGTGACGTATGGAATTCTGACCGATTTTCTAGGTGAAGTGACTGTTGCTTTTTGACGCATAGATACCTTTTGGCAGTAATGGTCCGATTTTCAAGGTGCCACGTCGGATCTCATTAAATGCATCCCGCTTCAAATTCAACTCAATCAGGGTTACTTATAAAAGGCGGTTCAAGAGTGTTGTATACGGTTACGCGATCAAACACAAATATTCCTAAATTCTCTGATTCTTCATCTTCTTCAAGCCCTAACAATGGCTGCCACTCAATCCAACACTGAAGAAGTTCTCTCACAGTCTCTTATGAAGATTCAAAGCACAAACTACCAAGTTGATCCTAATGTCTCATCTTACCCAGAAGCATTGAAGATGTTGATCGTTGCACTAAAAAGGTCACCATTATCAACTGCTATATTCAGTTCTTTTCCTGTTCCCATGACTTGCTTCTCAATGGCGGCATCAACTGCATCATACAACTATGCAACTGATGTAATCACATTCAATCTGGTAAATAACAAGAGGGTTCGTCTTAACAAGAACATGTTCATTGACTTCCTGAACATTCCTAATAACCCACCGTTCTTTAAACATATCAATTCCCAGATTATCTTCATGTTCAATGAGATGGGACATCAACCCTCTCTTGAAATGATTAGTGATTTCAGGAAATGAGGTTTACCTTGCATGTGGAACTTCCTGTTTGGAATCTTTCTACGGTGTTTAACAGGAAGGACTGTTGGTCTAGACAGGGGTCGAATGGAGGTTTATGCAATGGTTATGGGTCTATACTATGATTTTTGTGTTGATTATGGAACTCAACTTTGGAAGGAGTTCATCAAAAGCCTCGAAAACACTAATGTTGATAATGGGATTTCATGTGCAAGGTATTGGAGTGTAAATCTAGAAAAAGTATACGCAAAAGAAGGTATTCAAGTTCCTGAAGGTGGAGAAGTTGCAGAATTTTCCTTGTATCAGTTTCCCAAAGTTGTTGAAGATGATGAACATATCTTCACAAGTGTAGCACGCATTCCTGATGCGATGCTTTGCAAAGTGCACTCTACTCACAAGGTTTTAGTTAGATACATGAAAACTTTTAATCCTGATGTGCAAACTGGAGTGTTATTTGAAGTTAGCAGAGAGTCCTCAAAGAAGAAGAAAACTCAAAAGGAAGAAAAACTTGAATCTTCCAAAGTGTCAAAGGTGGAAGGGGTTGAGAAAGAAGAGATTTCTCCCAAAACTTAAAAGGAGATTATACCCTCAAAGTCAGGGGTATTAAAGAAGCTTCGCAAATCTTCACAGACGACGACTACTTCGCCTACTATTCGCAAAACTGAGGTGAGTAGTAAGGGGGCAGTGTTTAGAGATGTTCCAGTTCCTTTTTCTCCTGGCTCAAAGCGACGAAGAGCTTAAGAGGTTGCGAAGCATTTAACACAAAAGCTATACAAGAAATGGAAGATGATTATTCGCAACGAATCGTTAGATGATGAAGTGGTCCCAGAGACTCCAACTGTTTCCATCTCCACAGTGGTAAATGTTTCTCTTCCTATCACTTCGCAAATTTCCACCACCACATCAATTCCACTCGAAGTAGTCACTACCAAATTAGTTTCTGAGGCGGTACCTACTTCGGATATGGTTGTCAACGTATCTGATACGGGGGCACCTATCACGAGTGCCGACACTACCATGCCAATCATCTTATCTTCCTTATTACCCATCTCATCCGAAGATTTATCTGTTTCATTACCACCATTTCTTTTTCCAAACACTATTATAACCACTTCTTCAATCTTTGATCATCCTTTACAACATCCACTCACCACACTATTTCCATCACAATCACCCGAAACTCCACAACCTTCGCAACCTATGTCTGATGATGAAACCGAAGGAGGCGGTTTTGGAGGGACATTTGAGGCTTTACATTTCGATTCAAAGGAGGACGAGATACCTGATCATATGCTTATGTCAGGAAAGCAATTCAAAATCCTGAATCGAAAGTTAAATGCTATTATTCAATCCCAAGCCGATTCGGGCACTAAATCTTCCATTTCGGGTTTAGAGGTTGAGTCCATGATAAAAGCTGCTGAGAAGAGAATAACTGAGAAAGTTGATCATTCTGACAAGAACAATGAACTTCGCATTCATGCTTAAGGAAAATCTTTTGATGGGGCTGTTAATGAATTGAAAAATGTTACAAAAGAACGTCATGTTCTTTTTGTACAGGATGTCAAGAAGGTAAGAGAAAATGTTAATTTTAAGGTTGAAGAGTTAAAGCAGGAGATTGCGAAAGAGCTTAAAGATCTTAATTCTCAAAATTTGGAGGTGCAAAAGAGGGTTGATGTGGTTGCTACAGCTCTTAACAAAATTGTCACTGATTATCAATCACCTGCTCCAATTATCGAAGCCAAACATAAGGAAAATAAGGAGTAGTTTGATAAACTAATTCAGTTGGTGACTGAATTAAAAACCTTGGTTTCGCAATCTTCTCATCAATCAATTCTAACTCCCGAATTCTTAACTCTCAAAGTCAATACTCTGGAACAAGCAATTCAAAAGGCATTGGCTCCAATCACCAGCTTTACTTCTATATTACCGAAGAATGCCCCACCTGCTTTCACAGGGGTGCAAGGGGGAGAGAGAAAATGAAGTAAAGACAAAGATGCGAAAACAGTCAGAAAGCTGATTTCTACCCAACTTAAAACCTCTTTGCCAGTGCTCACAAAGCCAATTTCTTCAACAGTAATTATAACAAGACCAATTAACAAAGGAATTTCAATTAATTCAAAAGAAGGAGGAAGCTCAGGTGCAAAACCTCAAACTGAGGTTATTAGAAAAGGAAAAGGGATAGCATATGAAAAATCAAAAGAAGAAAAGAAAGCAGAAGCAGAAGCTGAAATGGAAAGGTTAAGACAAGTTCAAAGTATTATGAGACAAAGAGCAAGTGATCCACCAACAATGAACAAGGGTGATCCTACGAAGCTATATTCTTATGAGACCATTGAATCCAAGGTGTTGGGGAGTGAAATGTTTGAGTTTAAGAAGAAGCCGAGAAGGAGCTATGATGTTGCGAATTCGTACAAATGCCAATTGGATTTTCCGATAAACGAAATGATGTTTATTACGGCGCAGTACAAGATTAGTGAAAATTTTGAAAATGTTGATGATTACACTCACATGAAAATCAGATTTCATGTTGTACTGGGAAAGAATCAAGATGAAGTCTGGTCCTTAATGAAGATCAAAAAGGTTTTAACAATCAAGAAGGATGTGATGTTTGAGAACATGCTTCAAAATTTTAGATATTTTGTTATTCGAGCATATGACAAGCACCATGATTTTACAATAGCTGATTTTCCCTTGATGAATTGTAATGATCTCATTCAAGTGGCCCTGATTCTGAAACAGATGCAAGACAACAAGCTTAAAGGATATGAGACTAATATGTTCAGACTTGGATTCGCACATATCAACATATTCATAGATAACTACTATGATTGCTTGGCGTTAACTGATGAAGAACTCGCATCAGGACTAGGAAGGAAAGTGACTGTTCCTTGGGAGTCTACTTTGACCCAATCGACATTGACGAAGTATGCTGATGGAGAGATATGCCTTAAACCTTTTGGCATGGTGTTTGCAGGAAAAGATACAAAGGGGAAGCCAAAGAAGTTTTTGTTTAAAGTCTCAGAGATAGAAAGATACACTTCTTCGCAATATACGAATTTCATTGTTCGTATGAATAATTGCAAGAAGAACAATGAAGGAGACAAGAAGTAGCTTAAAAAAATTATCACTTGGTATGCTGAAATTCGAAATACAATACACTCAGCTATTCAGAATCTCACAAACTAAATAGTTTCGACTGTTTACAAAGTGGGAGAATGTAGATACTAAATGTTGTAAAAGTCGAAGTGTTTGTTTCTTTAGTTTCGCATGTTAGTTATTTTACTAAGTCTTCTTTTGTGCAAAGCATATAGTTCTAGACTTAGTATATTTTTTGTACACTCAGGTTGCTTATAAATAGGGACTGAGGTTAGAAGTAGAAGGACTACTCGTGTATTCTCTCTGCTTAACTCTGTAATCAGTTCTTCATCAATATAAGATCTGATTAATATTTACTTTCTGTGTTCTTACTTTTCATTCATAAAATCATGTTTACTTTCTAAATCTCGATTACAATTCACTTCAGCAGTATACCATGTCTGGGAATGTAAAGGTGTTGCTCGGAGTTGGAGATCATGTGTTGTTGGTAGAAAAAGATGGAGTTCAAACTGTTGGTGATAGATTAGGAACTCTGCAGAAGATGGTTATCTCACATAATGGCAAGTTAATGGCGTCATTAACTCACGATGGTCAGCTTCTTGTGATGCCCACTGACTTCTCAAGCATCATCTTTGAGTACAGTTGTGAGGTTGGTTTTATGACACTATTGTTGATACAAAAAACCATACTTTTCTTGTATTATGTATATGATGCCATTAACATCTTGTTATTAACAGTCTACCCTAGCTCCAGAGCAACTTGTTTGGTGTGGAATGGACAGTGTATTGTTGTATTAGGATGATATGCTTCTGATGGTGGGCCCTTATAGAGATCTAGTTCGCTATCTTTATGATGAACCCATTATCCTTATCCAAGAGTGTGATGGAGCTAGGATATTGTCTAACTTAAACATGGAGTTTCTTCAACGGGTCCCAGCTTATACTGAATCTATCTTTAAGATTGGGAGCACTGAACCAACAACTTTATTGTATGATGCTTTGGATCATTTTGACAGGAGGAATGCAAAGGTAGGGTGTCACTTTGATCTTTGAATTAGACTTTACATTTCTTTCTTTCCTTCTAACTTCCAATATCAATTTATTCCATTCCAGGTGGATGAAAATTTGAGGCTGATAAAAACATCGTTGCCTGAGGCTGTTGAAGTCTATGTAGATGCTGCAAGACATGAGTTTGATCATTTTGACAGGAGGAATACAAAGGTAGGGTATCACCTGCTCCTCACACTTACAGCCCACCTTCAAGAAAATCATGACCTAAAGATGTACGTCATTCCCATTCTTTTTTCATGATCAAATGTCTTTTTTACCCCTGCTTATGCATACACAGTTGATAGATAACCAACATGCTGAATTATTAAACCACTTATAACTTTTTAATCCTTTTATATAAAACTAACACTATATATTTATATATTTCTTTTCATTTCACCTTTATTAGCATTCAGCTTATGAGGAGCCTGTTACAGAAATATTAGATGACTGGTAAATTTTTCCATTTATTTTTTTTTTATATATTTTATAATCTGAGACATTTGATGTAATTTTTTTGTTTTCAGTATGCAAGATGTTATAGTCTACTACCCTTCAAGGTAAACTACACAATCTCCTCTATCAAAATTACATATTTATCACTTTACATATTTCCATTTATTTACCATTTTACCCTTGGATTGTGAGCTTTCAGGGATGACCATGATTCAGTTGTAGTTATTTATAGAGAGATGACCATGATTTAGTTGAGCTTTCTTGGACTACATGATAGCAATTCAATTTTTAATAACATTAAAAGGTATAATATATATATATATATATATATATATATATATATATATATATATATATATATATATGTATGTATGTATGTATAATGTTTTTGTAGGTTTGTGAAAGAAGAGTGTAGGTATCTATTAAATTCAGATGAGAATTTAAATCTCCAAATCACAGATGAAATTCAGATGAGAATTTTAATGTTTTAATAGTATGTTTTAAATTTAAATCTCCATTGATGAGTGTTTTACTGCTTTTTTTTATCATAACATTATAATTGTGGTAAACAACTTATAAGCCTTAGAATTTTAAACCCCAGGGTTATAGAAATGAGGCAAGAGAGTGCTGACGAGGGAGAGGAAATAAGGAGCGTATTAAAAGTCATTGTAGCCACTGGAAAGTTCTGGTATGCTACAAATTTTGTTATCAACCTAATCCTTATATCTCAATTCTCAAAGTCAACAACATTTGTATCTTTATGAATTTTATGATTAGTATTATTAATTTCACATATGCAAACACTGCAGTCATGATTGGGAGAAACTGAGAAGCATGTTGTCTCTTCATTTAAAGTAGGTATGGGGAGGTAAACCAATTTACAAACTTAAACAAGTTTTTGATGCAACATTGACTTGAATGTGACAAGTTTTATTATCTTTATACAATTATATGAATTGTTGCTACTGGTTATTTCTAAGTATCCACATGCAAAAATGACAATAGAGGAACAAAAAGTTTCATTAGGGGAGACGCATGATGAGTTGGTAAAAAGTTTGGATGATGGTATTTATTCTCCATTCTCCCTTTTCTTTTATCCCTTTTCTGTTGAATGATGCTTCTCTATTTAGGAACATCAATTAATTCCATAAATTAGAGGTCCAGTTGTTCTAGTTTCCTTAGTTTTTGAGTTTATTTGCTCACAAATTGATAGAATGGATGAAGTGGAATTGAAAATAGGTTTTCATGAGAAGTTTGGGTTCTTCCTTTCTTTTACTGATTCGAATTAGAGGTCCAAGCAGTGTTATCAATAGCGATCATAGCGATCGCTATAGCGATTAGCGAGGCGAGGCGACGATATGTCGCTATGGGGTTTATAGCGACGTAGCGATCTAAAGAGTTTTTTTTTAAATATTTTATAAATCGATTTTTGTATAAACTAGCAAAATTGATTGTTGGGACATGTTTTTACTGCTCGGAATTGATCCAATTCCTGATTGGGATCTCCAATTTTGCATTTGGGATCACCAATTTGGAGTTTGGATAGCCGATTTGGAGATTGGTGGGAAAACATCAATCGGACAAAAAACTTCGCTTGACAACCTCTTTGATTTCTTTTCTGAATTTGATGCTTCGAATAATACTTGCAATAGATTCAATTGATTATATATTCTAGATTCGTATACTCCTATTTTTACAATCCCTTCAATTGCCTAGCTATACCACAATTCCACTTTGATTTCTTTCAGTTTTCTATTCTACTTCCCTGTTTGAAGTATTAGTTCCTTGAAATTTGGTTTGAAGTGTTGGAAGTTCTATTTTTAAGTAAAGTTTACTGAGATTTATTTTAGTTTGATGCCATGTAATGTGATAAATGAAAGTTTTCCTGCACTCTCCTTCTCTCCATATCAGCTTCATAGGTTTTTTTTTTCCAGATTTGTTTACACTTTGTTTAGTTTCTTTATTTGTTATTGTGACAACTGTCAAATTCAGGTCATTCTCGGACTCATGCATCTTTATAAAAACCATTCATGCACAACATGCCATGGCCTAGTAGTATAGATTAGGTCAAAATCTTGCATAAACTAGGATCCAACTAAGATCTAGGACTAATATACTTGACACTTACGATTCTAGTAAGTTGCTTAACTACAATAGGAAATGCCAATGCGATAATTTAAATGAAACTTTCAAGCTTTGTTATAATTGAAATAGGGTATAAAACCCTAAAAATAAATTAAAACATTCTGATTATACTTCAACATGTTGTTGAATATCAAACAATATTCCAAAAACCCTAAAGAGCCAAAAATCCAAAGTTATAAATTATAAAGCTTAAAAACTTTATAAAATTTGGCTATAAACTTCCAAATATCAAATTTTATTAATCAAATTATGGATTATACCAATGAAATAGAAATATAAATTAACATGCACTAATCATAATTAATTAGTTAAAAACAAGATTTTTTTTAAATAAATCAAAAATTGCTTAAAGAATCACTTTTATAAAAATTAGATTTTTATAAAAATTAAGGAGGGATTTTTATAAAATTTAAATTGAGGAGAGAGAAGGCCCTAATCCACTCAAAAATCTGGCCATTCTCCCCTCCCCATGCTCCCTCTTCCCAAAAACTTCAATCATGAAGTCAAAACCCTCACTCCACCTCTTCTTTCTCCACTCTCTTACACTCCACTCTTCACACACTTCACTCTCTTCTTCCCTCTCTCTAAACCCACGAAAATCCTCTCATTACTCTGCAAAATTTCGAGATTTTGAAGCCCTTGAAGTGTTCTTACTTCCCTCAAGATCATAACAAAGGTAAACAACATCATCTTCTTCCATAGTTACATGATTTTACTTCTTTTCTTTCTTAGTTTTCTCTTCTTTTCGGATTCTATGCCATTCCATGGCTAGAAATCTTTATATTTTCCCTTGTGGTTTGTAGATTCTCACCATAACACAATGCATGTGTTAGAGATGGTGAAAATCCGGGATCAAACCCATGCAAGGAGTGAAAAAGATGCACATATGATCATGTGACATCAAAACCTAATATTTCATGTTCTTCTCCATTTCTTTTGTGTTCATGCATGAACAAAAGCATTTAAACCATTTCTAGTACATCTTGGATGCTCATTCATTCCATGCATGTGTTAGAAATCGGGCCTTACCAAAGACATGCATGATGTTCTTGTTGAAATACCCTAATAATGCACACAAGCAAACATGCAATCTGCCAGATTACTTTGTTCGAATTTGAACGGTAATAACTCAGTCATTTCTTAATCAAATCATGATATTATTTTTTTATTGGTTAGTTCCACGAGCTAACTTTCAAACCCAACTGGTCTTACTGTTAAATATTAGATATCCGATTTTTGGCAAGTTTTACAAAAAGGTTGCGCATACAGCTCTTTTTCTGTGATCACTATTTTTGTCTTGCATAATCAATGACCTTAAACCCAACCATAAATCTAAGCAAAAATACCTTAGACACTTAACATATCTAGTGAATGATGGTTGAAATTTCGTGGCTTAAAACCCCACTGAATGGGCTACACAAATTCATGAACTTCAGCCACATCTACACTTCATGCATTATTCCATGCAACTTTTCTTAAATTGTTTGGAATCATTACCCTCATTTATCTTCTGAATACATTTTTTTACATTTATCCTTTTGAAAGCCCTTCCATGCATGAGATAATCTGGAAAATTTCAAGAGCTTTTGTTATTTCTTTGATTTATTAGAGTTATTGCTAAAACCAAGGGCATAAATCATATAAAATACTTCCATAGGTCAATAATTCCTAAATAAATCCATGGATGATCCTTATGGGGAATAATGACCCCTCACCAAATTTCAGCAATTTTTGTTACTGTTTAATACGATTTCTAATTTTCTTTTGTTTAGGACATGATAAATTACAAAACCACTTTAGAGGATATTAAAATTGTATCTAAAAATTTTCGCATACCTTAACTGTGATGGGTGACTCCAGAAAATAATTTCAATATTTTTCATCATTTCTTACTATTTTTCCCAATTTTTGGTAATTATAATGGTCTAAAAATGGGAAAAATAGTTCTGATTATCCAAAATTCATGAACATTTACCAGGATATCATATTATACAGTAGAAGGTTGCATAAAATTTTTTGAGGATTTTCTCTACTGTAAACTATTTTTCTCTTATTTTCTAAAGTTAATTGCATTAAAATGCACTTAAATACACATAAATACCCAAAACCAGTTTATACATTCTGAAAACCACTTTTGATATTTTTCCCAGGTTATTTATACTTTAGATGATGTTACAAAAATTTATGGTGATCTATTCTAATTATTTAATATTATTTCTTTAATTAATGACTATTTAAAGGAATAAAACAAGGAAAAATAGAAATACCCACTGAAAAATATCTTTTATATTTTTCGTAGTCTAGTTATTTTTAATAACAATTAAATCAAAAGTTTGGGTAATTTTGGAAACTGTTTTCTATTTATTTCAATTTTTATTGGAATAAATGCTCATAAATCATAAAATATAATTAAACAGCTTGGAAATCAATTTTTATAGTTTTCCCAGCTTAGTATTGTGTAATAACAGTTAAATAAAAAGTTTGAGAATTTTTATCCCTTGGGTACTATTTTTCGTGAATTGATGTTGTTAAAGAGACTTAAAATTTGGAAAATTAATATTCCAAAGTTGTAATTAATCGCACAACTTGTAAAATTACAATATTTCAGAAAAAGTGTAACCAATTGATATGAAATCCAATACTAAAACATAAATTGGCATTTCCCTATATGTAGAGTCTAGTATATTAGCATTAGATTTCGACATGGAAACTCACTAGTGTGCGTGTTTGATGTCGTAGGATCCCGGTAGTAAGACGTTGGTGCATCCCGAAGTACTGCTTGTGCCTACACGAAACATCGTGAGTATTCACGCACTCCCCTATTTTCAGTTTTATGTTTTGGGGTGGAAAAGCATGTCCAGAAAACTATTGTTTGGATGATGTATTTAAATTGTTTATTATCAAACTTGATTGCTATTGTATTGCTATGTATCTTTATGTATGTTTATGCGACACGGAACATGAGAACTTATTGTACTAAGGCCATTCCCTTATCTCGAACCATTAACTCTTTGAGCCAATGGTCATTATGGATAGCGCTATTAGGAATTGACAACTCCTCACTCGCCCGAATCGCTAGAGTGCATGATACCATATTCATCTATGGAACGATAAGCATAGATCTCGATAGGGCTTCAGTCATAGGTTTGGTTGAGACTCATTGTTTGCTCATACACATACAAAAACTCGTTCTCGTTATAGCAATAAACTTGTACTCATTAATAGCAATCAACTTGTTTATCATTAAAGCAATGTACTTGTGTTTACGAAAAGCCTTGTTGTACGCTCGATTTTATAAACTTGTGAACTCACCAACTATTTTCATAGTTGACGCTCGTTTTACAGGCTTTTTCAGGAAATAATTAGTAAGTGGATGTAAAGATTCATCATCATAGAGCATGCTGCATCGTGTTGAAGCTATTATGAAGTAATATTTTGAACAATGTTATTTTGAAAAACTTGTATTTTGTTTCTTTTGAAGCTATGGGTTGTAAACTTTTAAATACTGCTATGGTGATGTATCTTTATCTTTTGCAATGAAACCGTTATCGCTGTCATATCTTGCGTTTCCGCTTTAGCGGGGTGTGATAGTTATACACCTATATACTTATGAGTTATGTTCTTATATATAATTTGAATGCTCATTGTCTGATTATATGTTTTTCATGCTAGTTTTTTACCTCTAATCATAGGTGCTTGTCGAACAGGGTATGCATGCCAACTGTTTGAAGTATTTTCTACAAGAAAAAGCTGTCTTTTTTACTTGTAAAAACAAAAAACAGTATATCTCAAGTCGAAAATAGTTTCGAAAGAAAGTTTTTGAACATGGATATGCATGCCAACTGTTTGAAGTACTTCCTATAAGAAAAAACAAAACTCTTTTTCACTTTGTCAAAACAGAGACCAATGAACCAAAGTAAATTTTTTTTTTAAAAGGTGATTGATGAACATATATGTGTATCAAATCTGCAGTTGGAGTTGTAAGGAATTGTTTCCACATGGGATTTGGGATGAAAATAGATCCAGAACCAGGGAGATGCAGAAGAACAGATGGAAAGAAATGGAGATGCTATAAAGAAGCTTATCTCGATTCAAAATACTGTGAAAGGCATGTGCATAGAGGCAGAAATCGTTCAAGAAAGCATGTGGAAGTAAAATCAACACCCAATACACCACCATTATGAATATCGACCAAACCCATGATGAATTACCCTGTTTCACCTTTCCTTTACCCCCCCCCCCCCCAATTACACATATCATCATCCAGACCTCCTATTAATGGTTGTAATGTTGTCTCATCTCATCAAGATCGATTTTGGTTGGAATCTAGTAATTCAGAAAAAGATAGCAGGTAATTTGTTTATGGAGTGTGAGTGTGAGTGTGAAAACATTTATTAATCCCTTGTCATCATCATGATTGTACACACGCACATAGACAGACACCCACATGCTAATGTCCAGTCACATAAATGATTCTCTTCTCTTTCTGAACATATCAACTCATATGCTTTCATAGCCTGTACTTTTTTTATGCTAACAAGCATCTTGCCATTTCAAGAACCAAATTTTACCTTCATTCTATCATTAGGATATTGTTTTGGATCATTTGTCAGTTTCTTTGATTATACTTGCTACTTCCCTTCTCCACTACTACACATAAACCATTTATCTTAATAAATAATAATCTATCTACCTTTTTAATAAAATAAAATAAATATATTAGCTTTACCTTTGTCTAAAGTTGTATGTGACAACCATATTTTAGAAATAGCCCTGTATAATTATATGATGGTAAGTTAAAATGGATAATTGTTGCTTTCCGTACATAACATAGGGCCCATAGGATCGGGCTTTGGTCCGTGGAAGTCACATAGACCAGACCACACAAAGAATACTTGCTTTTACTGACTCGAATTAGAGGTCCAAGTATAGGTTATCTATTTCTCTATAGGTACCCTTGCTTTTGTTTTGTTTTTAAAAGGTTTAATTAGCTACTATCAAAACCAATTACCTCATATCATTTAGGTAGGTAACAAATTATTTTCTTTCCCAGTTAGGTCACAGTCAACTAGGTTTATAATAGTATAATTGTTTTTAAATATCATTTGATTAAAAGAAATATTTTAAAATGATTATTAACTAAAACAAAATTTTAAATATCCAAAGTGTAAAAGTTCCAACAGGACAAATCAATGTTGACTGGTTTATAATAGTGTAACTGTTTTTAAAAGGGTATGTTATATGGATTTATATATTCATGAAAATATTTTGAATTTCCTATTCATATAGTAAGATTAAATACAATACGACTGTATTGTTTTTTTTTTTTTTTCTTTTCTCCCTACACATTTTCATTTTTTTGAGATCATTCCACATTTGTATTTCCTATTCATATAGTAAGATTAAATACAAAAATAGTAAAATATAGCTCTGTTTGTTACAGTTTTGGCTTGATTTTTGGGCGAAGTGGAAGTGGAACAACTACTCTTTTACAGGTTAATTAATTCCCATACTATTATTTTTTTCTTTTTTTATACTCACTTTATTTTCTTTTAATTATTTCATACAGTTTATTGTTGGTTTATCTAAACCAACTTCAGGCTCAATGTACATTCAAAGATACACTGAAAATGGTAGTCCAAATCAGCCTCCTGTGTTATTATCTCCAGAAAGAGTTGGTATTGTTCTTGTTGTGTGTTACTCATTATATTAAGTGAGTTCATAAGAAAATGTGATTAATTTCAGGGTGAGGAACTGTATTAGAAGTAATGTTGAAGATGTTGAGTTGGCAGCAGTTCCATGTGGATTTGGAAATGCTATTGGTAATAAGGTAACTGCTTTTTAAAATACTCATTTACTTTTAGTTATGTAATAATAACAACTTATAAATTTACTAGATTCAACAGGGAGGAGTTGGATTGAGGATGAGAATCTGTGGTCAGATTATATGTTTTGTGAACTATCACTTTTCTGCACATCTGGATGTTGTTAACAGGTGTAATGACTGCACATTGAGTTCATGATACTCCTTTCTGAGTTATGCATAACATATAAAAAACCAGGAATATCAAAACTATATCCATGGCAGGTACTTCTCTAGTCTTTTTAAATATTTGTATTTTCTAGTTTCTTTAACTTTTAAATCGATTTTATTTTGTTAATTGAGGCTCTGTTTTTCCAGGTGGGCTGCCTTCAGGTGGATGGGATGCTAAATCTTTTCTACTTAATCACTTTTTCTTAACCATTTGTCTTTTCTGGCATAGTGTTGGGAAAAGTTTTGTTACAGAAATCTTGATGTTACGTAGAGTGTTTTCAATAAGAAAAGTGGCAATTCTTGTTCTTCCCTATGTGTCCATTTGTACAAAGAAGGTCCGGGTATTTCTATATCTTATTAGTTGAGAATTAGTATTTATGTTCTTGAAGTTCATTATTTGTATGTAAGTGATGCAGGAAGAACATCTTGAAGCCTTACTGGAACCACTTGATAAGCATGTTCGTAGTTAATACTTAATATGGAAACCAAGGTGGAGGAACGCTTCCTAATGATACATCTGTTGATGTTTGCAAAATTGAGAAGACAAACTTTACTCAATAGATTGTTGGAAGAGGGGCGTTTGTCAGAAGTTGGGATCATAGTAATTGATGAAGTTCACATTAACAACACTTTGCAATTCAAGGTAACTATGGTATCCCAAAAACTTTTTAATTTTTTTAATTTTATATTAAAGTGGTTGGTTTATTACATGTGTGTGCAGTGCATTTTTCGCAAGTCAAAAGAATGCAAAGAGCGACATAAAATATCAATGGATCGAAATACTGCTGACGGGGCGGATAGTGCTGAAGATTCAGGGAACTCCCAGCCTTATCCCTCTACTTTACCCGGCATGCCAGAGGCAATATTCAATTTTTCTTATATATGAAATATACATGTTGATATAGTATACATATGTGTGAGCATAATTGTATGTATGTGTGTTTATACAGGGCAATGCAAGACAATTATTTCAACGGTTGCAGGGACCAATGGAATAGGATACACTGAAATCTCATTTTGAAACAACATTACAGAAGGACACACGTAGTCTCTCAATAACTTTCTAACTTGTTTTATGCTATGCAATTATTATTATTATTATGAATGATTTTAGTGTACTCAGATAATCATTTTTCTACAAAGAATGATAATCAGGATCCAAAACAGCTGCAGCAGCCTCATACTTCTCATGCATTTGCTCTTTCTCAAGTCATGCTAAATAACCTAAATTGCGGGCCTTTCCTCACGTCAGTTTTCTATTGTACTTTTTACTTCTTTTTTTTAAACTTTTTTTTAATACTATATTCTGCGCAATTACCGAAATAGGCCTCTAGAACTATCCGAACCAAACTGGGAGCTTATAAGTGATGCCATTAACAGCACTTTGCAATTCAAGGTAACTATCATATATGTTGTGTTGTGTTGGTTAATGATGTGTTGCATTGGTTCATGATGTACATCATTCAACCCCATACTATATTTTTTATAGTTTTATATTATAATTATGCCTAGAGTATTGCATACCTGAAGAACCATTTGTTAGCTCTACAACACTTTTCGAATCTGAACCTTGTCTTTCATCACTAACACCAGCACCTTTTAAAAGGTGCTGGTGTTAGTGATGAAAGACAAGGTTCAGATTCAAAAAGTGTTGTAGAGCTAACAAATGGTTCTTCAGGTATGCAATACTCTAGGCATAATTATAATATAAAACTAGAAACAATTTCATTTTTTGATATATATTTTTTGTTTTGTTTTGCAGAGGATAATAAAGAGCAAATCTTGCAAAGGATATTTTTGCTTTGTTTTGCAGAGGATACCCCTCATATTTTCCCAAATTACCCTTTCCTCTACAATGTTTTTTTGTTTCTGTGTATTTTGTGCATCAGGTAAAGTTGATGGAAGAAAGGAATATGAAGCCACTTGATTCAAATCTTGCAGCATTATCAGCAAGATGCAGTAAAGACTTGAAGTTGAATTTGGCTAAGTCATTCTTGAGTGAGATGGGCCAATCTACAACTCCTTATCCATATAATCGGCTGCTTGGAGCAGTAGTCTTAAAGAATTATGAAAAGCAAGATGCAACTTTAATTAGTTGGAATTTGATGTACAGAGTAGATTAGATGCAAATTTAGATATTGTAAAACATAGAATTGTTTGACATTAAATTTTATGCAATGGATTGTATTTTTTGTATATGATATTTTATATCTATTTTGAGACATTAAATGCAAATTTAATTTAAAAATTAATAAATATATCAATATATTTTTTTAGAACATTTAAAATTATGATACGCAAAAATGTGTGTCATCTTCATTTATGACATGGCCTTTCTTGATAGGGGCTTCCTTGATACGCATTGCGTGTCATAAACACGCGCGTCGTAAGGTTACGACACGAAAATGTGTGTCGTCTTCCTTTATGACAAGGCCTTCCTTGATACGCATTGCGTGTCATAACCGCGCGTCGTAAATGCACGTCATAAATGAGCGTCGTAAATGCGCGTCGTCTCTCTTTATGACAGGGCCTTTCTTGACGCGTATTTGCGCGTCGTCTGAGCGTTTTACGACGCGCAATAAGCGTCGTAAAAGGCTGTTTTTCTAGTAGTGTATCCTACAAGAAAAGAAAACTTTAAATTACCAAGTCTACTTTATTTAGCATCAAAGAAAAATTGGGAATGGAAAGATAGCACAAAGAAAATGAAATTGTAGATCCAGATCCATGTAAAACAATGTTTAATTCAACAAATGTGAACTTCTCAATTTGATATAAATGCAACAATACTCAAAGAGTAGAGGATGTGTGTGAGGGTGGGGGAGGTTCTTTCTCATAAGAAGAAAAATCAGCGACGACCTCTGTACCAGAGAATATAATATTATTAATAAAAGTAAAACATGAACAATTATGTAATCATACCTTCTTCTATTTCAACTTTTCCGCAACTTTGATGTTCTTATTTCCCATTTCCCTGTCAAAGATCTCAACTTGTAAGCAATTTAATAGTGAAAAAAATGAAATTTCAATCAATAAAAATGAATTAAGACCAATTTAATAATGAAAAAAAAATGTATTTTGCTTTAATCAAATGAGGAAGACGATTATCTAATACTTGAATGCATTTAACAATGGGCCAGTTGAAGCTCTTTGAGTGTTAATTAATGTGAAGTTGGTGGCTACTTGGAGGCACAACCAAACCAAAGATAAGAACATAAATCAAATGAAAATAAAGTAAAACCCATTACTCTAGAGAGAGTTCACATACAAGAACATAGAATATAAAATATTCACCCTACATGGAAGAGGAAGAGGAAAAAGGCATAGAAATATACCCAATGCATAATAAGTAATGTATTTTTATTGTTCTATGAACATTAGCTCTAAAAGCACGTACGAACAACAATTTTCCAGTTAACATTCCATTCAACTGAAAAATTATACATGGTTTTAAAGTCTAAAATATCTTACCACCAACAGTTGGCGTGCACCCATAATGTATCAAAACTGATAAGAACCTATTGAAAAATTGTTAAAACTAATAACAGTAGCAGTTAAAAAATCTAAGAACATAAAATCCATTTTCAATATTGAACATTTTCAAAAGAGTAAAGTCTTACTGCAACGGCTTAGACATCACAATGAAGCTCTTGAATTTCCTGCTTTTTACAATAACCGAACAATCAACCACCCCAAAATGGAAAACAAAAAATTATACCAACAATCATGCTTATGAAGAGCCATCTTTTTTATTGCATTAGAAACCATCTCAAACCAAACAAAATACAAAAATCACAAACAAAATGATGAAAAAAATAAACATTTCAAATGGGAAACAACCAAGCTAGAGGTGGTGACTATTTCCTGAGATATGACAAATACAACAAAAATCAATGAAACATTCACGAAGATGAGAAAACAAATATGCTAAATAAATGGGTTTTATTTTCTTTATATAGATCCAGAATACAAAGATGCAATCAAATCTAGAGACTGAGGTCACTGGTGGTCATGTGTACTTGATATCGTTGTTGCTACTATGTTTGGTGACATGAGTTCGACTACAGCATAACTAATAACAATGTAAAAGGTTATCATTCATTGATCTTGGCGTCAAGGGTTAGAGATAAGGTGAGGAACGATGGTGGTGACCGGGGCGATGGCGCACTACTGGTGGGTAGCCATAGCATCTATTACATAAAATTGAATCAAGAAATCAGTGAGAGAAACTAGGGAAGAGAATGACGAAATTGGGGATATTAGTGTCTAAGCTGTAGTTTGGAAGAACGATAAATTGTAACACCGTAAATTTTCAAATAAAAATTTCATTTTAAAACTCACATAAACTCAATATCACAATTTTCGAAAACCACAAAATGTATAAGTTATCAAAACATAAGTTAACAAATGTTTGATAAATTCCAAGAATCCTCAAAATCATGATCTCTAACTAGTGTGTACAATCAAGGCGGCACCATCCCACGATCCTGAGAAGTACATGAAACACATTTCACATAACACGGTAAGCAAGAAGCTTTTTGAGTTCCCCAAAATACCAAACGCAAATAATTAGCCTCTCATGGCTATATCTCGATAAAGACCCTCCAGTCCATGTGTCTCAGTGAGGACCCTTCGGTCTCACAACTTGGGTTGGACCCTCCGGTCCTAACCAATAAAGCACATAATAATATCCAATGTAAATTACAAGGACAAATGCATGATATCACAGAATCAACATAATCATATAAGACCCTCCGGTCACATTGACTCAGGTAGGTATGGTGAGAAGACTCACCTCGTAAGTAAAACAAGTATGTTTCGTACTCGAATCACCAGTCTAGCTTCCGCCTAACATATATATCGTAATCAACTCTAATTAGTAAACGACCCCTAAAGATGTTAGGCTAAACCCTATAGTAATTCTTAGAAGGATAAAAGACCATTTTACCCTTCCATGGCCTCCAAAGTCCATAGTTTGACCAAACCCTAAAAGTCAACAAAAGTCAACACCATGCGCGTACGCTGGGCGTACTACTTCACTATGCATGCATCGGGTAACTTCGATGCTACGTTTCGTGTACCTGGGAGTACGCTCAGCGTACGTCCCAGACTTACTTTTTCCATTCTCGTGGTCTTAATCCGTTAAGACCATAGCTATAATCTCATATTTGGACACACTAAAGGATAATACTCCATAAAGTTTGTGACTTTAAGCCTTTACATGGCTGAGCAAGTCTAAAACTCATAAACTCTCACTCTTTACTCACAAAAGTTCTCATATATCATGAATGAGGAGATCTTGACGTCCAAGATCCCATTTTTATGTGTCCACTCAACTAGAAACACTTAAAAGGGACATGTATTATGCTCAGGAGTTCAAAAAACTGATAAAGCTTGAAGCTTTGGGACATAAACCCTAAAATGAACCACAATATGCACAAATCAAAACATTGAGAAAGCTTTGACCTTGATACCTCAAAATGATGCGTCAACCACAAGGAAACTCATATCCAAAACTTGGACACCAATTATAGTCTCTTCAAAGCTCCTTCTTCACCCAAAGAATCCCACAAAGATCACTCAAAAGCTTCAAATAGCCACTCAATCTAAGAGAGGGAAATTAGGGTTTTCAGGGGAGTTGAAGACTGGAAATGGTGGCTGGACATGAGGCCCTCATGTTCCTTAAATAGGGATACACCACATAATTAGGGATTTCACTTTGAGCCTAGTACGCCTAGCATACTAGGTGGCCTCCGCATCCATAATACGCACATGAGTACGTTGAGCGTACACACGCGTACGCCCCATGTACTTATTTGCCACCTTTTTGTCAATTAAGGGCTAGCTTTGACAGTTCAATAAAAGTAAGGGTTATTGATGCATACCTTATTCCGGGGTGTTACAATTCTCCCCCACTAGCATTAGACTTCGCCCTCGAATTCATCCTCTGGAAACAACTCTAGGTACTGCTCTTGCATCTCGTACTCCGGCTCCCATGTCCACTCAGATCCCTTCTGATGTTGCCACTGAACCCGAAGGGAGTTAAACGCATCAAAACACGACTATGAACCCTTTTTGGGACTTAAAATAATCATAAACAAAGTATAATGGGGTACGCGGACCTTGCATTGCAAGATTATTCGATGAAAATGGCTAAAAGTGAATCTCTCTCGAATCTCTCCCAAACTCTCTCAAATCTCTCTCAACTTTTTATAGTCATCCGGGTCATCCTGACCATTAACTTGGCCAAAAATCACTCAAAACGAGAAGTTATATTGAAAAATAGCCATTTAGGGCCGAAACCCTCTTAGAGGGAACCTCTTAGGGCCGAACCTCTCTTAAGGACCAAAGCTGTCAGAAGCGAAGCCACCCCTCGGACCGAACCCTGCGAACCAAACCCTTTGGGCCCAAGCCTCCACCTTCGGTTCCTTCTCCTACCTTCGGTCCCTCCTAGTTCCACTCTCGTCCTTAGCCTGAAGAACCGAGCCTCTCGCAGGTTCACTCCCTTCTCCCAGTTTTCGAATACTTTCGCCTCCTAAGCCCATTTTTGACGTTTTTGATGGGATTTTTTCACTAAATTCATATTTTTACCATTTTAAACCCCCAAAACTCGTATTTTATTTATTTCTCGGGGATTTATTAATTAAAAATCATTATTTCATTAATAGAAATATCTAGGGATATTTTACCCCACAAGTGGGTCAAGTGTGCCCACTTGCCTCCATGTGTCACTTCCCCATTAACCTAACCGTATCCACATCACACAAACCAAGGAAAATATCCTATCAATCTTGCAACTTGCTCGAGAAACTCCTATATATAAAGAAATCCCTGGAGGATTTCTTGATTCACTTTGATAAATCCCACACTTTTACACCTTTCTTACCAAACAAAGAAGCTTATTTTCTCTCAACTTCCAGCCACTTTTGGAAGTGTTCTTGAGCTATTACTTCACTTTTTGGTAAGTATTTCCTATAAACTCAAGTGTTATTCCATGTTTTCATAACATCCTTGAATCATCTACACACATTCTAACGCCAAAGAATCGTTCTTAGGATCATCCAAGCTTTTACCTTTTCATCAAGTGTTCTTGACTTGATACTCCTCGTCTTGACCTTCCACTCTT